CTGGTCCATGAATATATGAGAATAACATTTTAATTTAAAGATCTGAAATATATGATATTTAAGCTGTATTTCCAGAAAAGAAAGGGGAAAGGACTTGAGAAAATGAAAACTTGCTACAGTAGGAGAAATAGTAATACACATGCCAAAGTGATGTAGATAAATCCTGTCAGTATTTAAAGAATGGAATAAAATTTGGACTGTTTTTCTTTGCTAAGAATCACAGGAAGATCCTATTGACAACAGCTATGTCTATAAATGTTAGGGCATATTTCTTTTCATCCTGAATATAGCCTCCCCAAGAGAGAACAACAGGGTGGTATTTTAAATATGTAACACATTTAACAGTAGGACTGAGCCATGACCTATATTTTAAATCTAATTTTGATGTGTGTTATTAATTTATCTGGCTTTACTATCCATGAAAAAATAAAATATTCTACATACATACATACATATATATACATATATAATAATAATAATTATTATTATTATTATTTTTTTTAGTTGGAGTCTCACTCTGTTGCCCAGACTGGAGTGCAGTGGCACACTACCGGCCACCACAGCCTCCACCTGCTAGGCTCCAGCGATCCTTCCGCCTCTGCCTTCCAAGTAGCTGGAACTATAGGCGCGCGTTACCACGCCCAGCTAATTTTTGATTTATTGTAGAGTTGATGTCTCGCCAAGTTGCCCGGGTGGGTCTCAGACTCACGGGCTCAGGCAATCCACTCACCTCGGCCTCCCAAGGTGTGGGATTACAGACTGAGCCACCAAGCCCGGCTGGCTCTACAAATATTTTTAAAAGTAAAATAAAATGTTCTAGGTGACTCTGGTGGCTATGTAGTTTTTTTGTTTGTTTGTTTGAGTTGGAGTCTCACTCTGTCGCCCAAACTGGGGTGCAGTGGCCGCTCCCGGCCACCACAGCCTCAACCTGCTGGGCTGAATTTTGGGGGTCAGGTGCAGTGGCTCACATCTGTAATCCCAGCATTTTGGGAGTCTGAGGTGAGAGGATTGCTTGAGCCCAGGCATTCGAGACCAGCCTGGGCAACTGGGCAAGATCTTGTCTCTACAGTAAATCAAAAAATTAGCCAGGCATGGTGGCCCATACCTGTAGAGCCAGCTTCTTGGAAGACTAAGGCAGAAGAATTGCCTGGGCCCCCCAGGTCAAGGTTATGGTAGCCTGAGCATGCCACTGCACTCTGGCCTGGGTTACAGACTAAGATTTTGATTTAAAAAAAAAAAAAAAAAAATATATATATATATACACACACACACACACACACACACACACACACACACACACACCCCCTATATATAGGGTTGGGTAGTGGTTCATGAGTGCTATCATGTTTTGCTTTAAAACTCATACATGCTATACACTTTTCTTTAAATTTTGTTGTTTACTCGTGAAAATATCAAATGTCAAATATTCAAAAGTAGAGAGAATAGTATGATGAACCTATGTAACTAAACCCAGCTTCAATTCTTATTCAACATTTCCCAATCTTATTTCATCTACACCCCACATGCTTTTTTTTTTTTTTTTTTTTTTGAGTTGGAGTCTCACTCGGTCACCCAGACTGGAGTGCAGTGGCTGCTCCCGGCCACCGCAGCCTCGCCTGCTGGGCTCCGGCAATCCTTCCGCCTCAGCCTTCCGAGTAGCCGGAATTACAGGCATGCGCTACCACACCCGGCTGATTTTTTGATATATTGTAGAGATGAGGTCTCGCTGCCCAGGCAGGTCTCGAACCCGTGGGCTCAGGCAATCCACTCACCTCAGCCTCCCAAAGGCGCGGGATTACAGGCTGAGCCACCGAGCCCGGCTCCCACATGCTTTTTTATTAACTATTTTAAAGCAAATCATAGATATCAAGTCATTTTATCCATAAGTACTTCTATATGCATTTCAAACTTATAAGGAGTTATTTTTATTGTGGTAAAAAAACACATAATTAACCATATTTGAATGAGCCACCAAGCCCGGCTCATCTTACAAATCTTAGACTCTTTGCTCATTAAACAACAACCCTTTCCTCCCTTCCCTAGCCCCTGGGGACCACCATTTTACTCTGTTTCCATGAATTTGACTACTGGGGGTAACTCATATAAGTGGAATCATACAGTATTTCACCCACAGGCTTATTTCCTGTAATACAATATAAATCAATGTCCTCAAGGGTCATCTAAGTAGTAGCATGTGTCAGGCTTTCTTTCCTTTCTAAGGCTGAATACTATTCCACTGTATGGACATACCACATTTTATTTATCCCTTTATTCATCAATGAACTTTTGAGTTGTTTCTACCTGAGTTATTGTGAAAACTGCTGCTGTGAACACAGATGTGCAAGTATCTGTTCAAATCTCTGTTTTCAGTTATTTTGGGTATTAGCCTAGCAGTGAAATTGCTGGATCATATGGTAATTTTATGTTTGATTTTTTTGAGGAACTGCCACAATGTTTTCCACAGAGGCTACACCATTTTACGTTCTCACCACAAAGCACAAGCATTCTAATTTCTGCGGTGGCCGGTAGTGTGCCACTGCACTCCAGTCTGGGCAACAGAGTGAGATTCCAACTCCAAAAAAACCCCAAAAAACAAAAAATAAATAAATAAATAATAGCCTTCCTAATGGGTGTGAAGTGGTATTTCATTGTCAATGTTAAGCTCTGAGGCTGGTCAAGAAGCTGGAGATGAGAGCCGGGTCAAGTGGAAAGTAAAGACCATTCTCGGGAGGAAAACAGGAGAGGGCAAGGTCAGTGAAGGATTTAAAAATGTACCACTCTGACATATTGACTATTTAAGTTAAAAGCACTTGAAAAACAGCAGGAACAAGAAGATCACTCTGACCTTCGTGCTGTTTCTTAAAAGCAGAAGATGAAATTCCCGTGTGAAAGACACCCTCCCTATACTAGAAGGAAAAGCAACATCCTTATCTTCAAAGACGAGAAGTCAAGACCAAGATAATTCTGTGCAGACCTTGTTAAAATTACTCTTATCTCTTAAGCCTCTCCACATAATTGAGTTGCTTTTTCACAACTTATTATTCTTTGTCCAATCCAGTATGTAAGTAACTGGCTCTAGCTGCTTCTTTGGGTCATTTTTTTTATGAAGGCTCCTGTGCCACATATAACTCGTATTAAATAAATTTGTATACTTTTCTTCTGTTCATCTATCTTATGTCAAATTAATTCTTAGACCCAGCCAGCACCCTAAGAGGATGGAGGTGGAATTCGACTGTCCCTAGCAGGAAAACGAGGTATCCCTGGGATACCTCAATGTAGAGACACAAGACACTCACAAGCCCAGCACCGTTTTCAAATAATTTATTAGGAATTTAAAACTGAAAATAAAACCTGGAAAAAGAAGTTACAGATGTGGAGAGAAGAGACACCGGAGGGTGGTAACTTGCTGGCTTCAAAACACCATGTAACATCTTTAAAAAAAAAAAATTCCCCAAACAAATCAGAAAACGGAATTCCAGGGTCCTGAGCCCATGGTTGGTCCCAGTGGGTAGAAGGGTAAGGGGATGGAGAGAAGAGGGAAGCTAAGTCTCTCAGGACTCAGCTCAAACGTGTAGAAAATTAAAAATAAAAACCAATAAAATGCAGCTTCTCTTTTATTAGGAAACATTAAAAAAAAAAAAACCCAAAACACGAACAGCCGCGCATCTCAGTAACAAAGATTATTGCTTTGTGTTCTCAGGGCTAATAGGTTAAGCACCTCACCCAGACAATTAACTCTCCAAAGGGGGGTTGAAGGAGTGGGGGCTATGATGGGGAAGGGAACTTAGGCCCTTGGCCTCAGATCTGGGAAGAAGGGGGTGGCAATAGATGGGCCTCGGCCCTGCCACAGTAACCAGGCCACTGTTCATGAAGATTCACGCCCTGAGCCTCTTTTCCTTAGAAGGAGGCCCTGGGGTAAGGGGCTGCCAAGGGGCTCTGGCTATGGGACCATCCTGATGGGAAACTTCAGTGAGATAATGTGGGGGTTCCCTGAGAAGCCCTTTGCTTTCCCCTGGGGTTTGCCCCTTACCAAAGTGCTCCCTGACGCCCACTCATGGGTGGGGGAGGGGACTCAGAGCAGAAACCATGAAGGCCCAACCTAGGTAGGGGGCAGGGGAGACCTTTGGAGAGTTAATTCCTTTCCAGCGATGGCTCTGGGCAAGCCCTTCTCTTCCTGCACCCTTTGCCCCGACACTGGGCTTTTGGGGTGAGCAGACCCAAGGCCTTGACCCCAAGGGCCTGAGAGAGCGGGCCTGCCGTGGCCACAGCTGAGGCCTGCAAGCTTACAGTAACGGTGTCTGAGGGGACAGAAATAGGGGAGGGGGGAGACCCTCACCCCCGAGGGGTCTTGGAGAGGGGTAGGGGTGTCACCTCACAGTATTTACATATGATACAGGACGGGATGGTTCCAGGGGCTCGGCCTGGCTTACCCGCAGCCCTGCCCTCCTCTCCAGGGCTGGAGGGAGGCGGCCAGGGGCCCACACCCACATAGACACTCTGTTCTCAGCTGGTGGGGGGCACCTGGCCCCTTGCCCCTTGCGGCCTGGGGCTTCACATTCACAAACCTAGAAATAGTTTAAAAATGATTAAAAAAAAAAAAAAAGTAGAGGAGGGAAAATCAAAATAAAAAACAAGGGTTGGGGCTGTGGCCTGTAGCAGGCTCCCTCCGTCCTCACTCTAGCTATGCACAAATACAAAAGCCTTCTGGGGGTGCGGTCCTATAGGGGCAAGGCAGAGAGGGAGAGGCACAGACCGAGAAGGGAGGACCACAGAGGCGGGGGAGGTGGGGGGGCAACCGGCTAATCCAAAATAAATAAAAGCAGGCAGGAGAGGGTAGGGGGGCTGGAGGGAAGGCCGGAAGAAGGGGAGGTTAGTAGGGGAGCCAGACGATGGGGGGCAGCAGGGCAGAGGCCAGGCCCAGGGAGTGAGGGGCAGGCAGTATTGGGTCCGAGTCGCTGCGGGGGAGGGGCGGCGGCTGCGGTTGAGGTGTCCTGCCCCCTCGCTGGCTCACTCGTGGTCCTCAGTCAACTGCAGGCTGGGAACACAGCGGGAGGTTATGGGGTCCCCCAGTGCGCACACACGTCCTTCCCCAGTTTCCTCCCAGAAGAGCTTTGTTCATGGACCTTGCATTTTCTGTTCCCGGTTAGATGGCTCTTTCCCCAGATTTCGTGGGGTTTTTTTCTTCTTTTATTACCCCAAGTCATCAGTACAGACATTTCCCTCCAGATTTTGAATAGCTGGATTTATTCAGATTTCACCTTCTCAGAGATCCCTTTTCTGAACTCCTAGTCTAAAATAGCCTCCTCACCGCACTGTCTAGAATTATCTCATTTGTTCACTCGACTTTTGTCTGTGAAATGAGAGCGGGCCTTGTCTGTCTTGCTCATTCCTCTCTTTCCTGGAATAGGGCTCAATACACACACGTTTGAATGACTGAGTGAATGAAGAAAATGTCATGGATTCACATAGTCCCCTACCATCTGGATAGACACTGTGACAGTTGTGTGCACGTTCTGCAAATCAACAGTATCTTGTTTCAATAGCAGTTGTATGCATACACTCTAACCACTCTCCTTTTGGTGGGCATTTCAGTTATTTGCAGTTTTTATTTTTATTTTTTTATTTTATTTTTATTTTTTGAGTTGGAGTCTCACTCTGTCGCCCAGACTGGAGTGCAGTGGCCGCTCCTGGCCACCGCAGCCTCGACCTGCTGGGCTCCAGCGATCCTTCTGCCTCAGCCTTCCGAGTAGCCAGAACTACAGGCGCGCACTACCACATCCGGCTAATTTTTTGATTTATTGTAGAGATGAGGTCTCGCTGCCCAGGCGGGTCTCGAACCCGGGGGCTCAGGCAGTCCACTCACCTCAGCCTCCCAAAGGCATGGGATTACAGGCTGAGCCACTGAGCCCGGCTTGCAGTTTTTAAAATAAATGTTTGAGTCGGGTGTGGTGGCTCATGCCCGTGTAATCCCAGCACTCTGGGAGGCTGAGGCAGGATTGCTTGAGCCCAGGAGTTCAAGACGAGCTTAGGTAGCATAGTGAGACTTCATCTCTATAAAAAAATAAACAAATTAGCCAGGCATGGTGGCATGTGCCTGTAGTCCCAACTACTTGAGAGGTTGAGGCAGAAGGATCACCTGAGCCCAGGAGGCCAAGGCTGCAGTGAGCAGTAGGCATGCTACTGCACTCCAGCCTGGGCAACAGAGTGAAACTCTGACTAAAACAAAACAAAACAAAAAACAAAGCAAAAAAAAAAAAAAAAAGCCTAGAAGTGAAATTGTTGGGTCCAAGGGAATGACTATTTGAAATCTGGACAACCCAGGCTCGGTGGCTCAGCCTGTAATCCCGTGCCTTTGGGAGGCTGAGGTGAGTGGATTGCCTGAGCCCACGGGTTCGAGACCCGCCTGGGCAGCGAGACCTCATCTCTACAATAAATCAAAAAAATCAGCCAGGCGTGGTAGTACATGCCTGTAATTCTGGTTACTTGGAAGGCTGAGGTGGAAGGATAGCCGGAGCCCAGCAGGTCGAGGCTGCGGTAGCCGGGAGCGGCCACTGCACTCCAGTCTGGGCAACAGAGTGAGACTCTAACTCAAAAAAAAAAATAAAAAAAGAAAAGAAACCTGGACAAACATTGCCTTACTACCCTGGAAAACCCTGAGCCAATGTACCTACTGCTTACCACATATCTTTGCCATGCTGGGTACTATCGGTCTTAAAAAGTACCAGGCTCTGTGGCTTGTGCCTGTAGTCTAGGAAGACTGAGGTGGGAGGCTCGCTTGAGCCCAGGAGTTTGAGATTAGTCTAAACATAGTGAAACCTCGTTTGGGAAAAAAAAAACTTTTATTATTATTATTATTATTATTATTTGAGTTGGAGACTCACTCTGTCCCCCAGACTGGAGTGTAGTGGCACACTCCCGGCCACCACAGCCTCGACCTGCTGGGTTCCGGCGATACTTCCACCTCAGCCTTCCAAGTAGCTGGAACCACAGGCACACGCTACCACACCTGGCTAATTTTTTTTTTAATTTATTGTAGAGATGAGGTCTCACCAAGTTGCCCAGGC